TTCCTCAGGTATAGAATAACGAATCTGTCCGGTCACGCGCGGGGAAAATAAAGCTACCGCGCACGCTGTATAGAAGAATAGTGATCCATAATGCCAGCCTTTTCCTTCCGACTCCATTTTTGATCAACAAAGACCGAGTAGAAGCATTCAAAGCAAAATGTGCGATGAATTACAGTATATGTTTCCAACGAATTGCGTCTTCATGTGGGTTAAAGAAATTGGCAACTAAGATGAACGTGATTTGGTTGTTATATAGTATCGAGGGTTAGCGGTTGATGATGTATGAATTTATGCCATTCATTGATTTGGGTTTTGTTAAGGGGAGGGATAAAAAAAACACACTTGCTTAATAAGTTGAACAGCGGCACTTAGAGTCCAAATACAGTACTACGGAGAAAAAATAAAAATATAAATAATAATCAAAAAATTATAGTATGTATATATATACATACTATCAAGGACTTAAACTTTAAAATAGTTAAACATTTCATATAAAAGGTTATGCACTCTGATAATATGCCACACCTTATAAGAGCAAAGTGTGAGAGGGCAAAGAGGATTGTGACAAATGCTTCATAAATCTGAGAACCTCAAACAGGGCAGACAGTTATCTAGTTAGTTTAACTAATTATTAAAGGGATATTTCCCCAAAAATGCAAATTCTGTAATAATTTACTCACGCTCATGTGGTACCAAACCTGTATATTTTTATTTTGTTTTTTGTTTTTTTCTTTTGTGGAATACAAAAGAAGATTTTCTGAAGAATGTTAGAAACTAAATAACATTGGGGCCCATTGACTTTCATTGTATGGGTATAAAAAGACAGATAGACATTTTTCTAAATATATTCTTTTAAGCTCCACAAAAGAAAGTAAGTCACATAGATTTGGAAACTACAGAGTATGAGGGTAAAAAATAATTACAGAATTTTCATTTCTGAGTGGACTAATTTTAACAGTGGCGAAATCACCATCATACATGACCATCATCTTTCTGATGTGACAGCAGCATTTGAAACATGGTGTAAAATGAAGAATTTGAAGAATTTATATAATAATAATAATAATAATAATAATCTTGCTGTATGAAAACCAGCATTTCACTTCTGCTTTACCATTTGATTTGCAATCAAGTACATGTACATAACAGAACATAACTAATTCAGCAGATTCTCTTGTCTAATTTGATATATAACATCTCCTCAAAACATTCACCTAAAATAAAAATTAATAAATATAAATACATTTCTAATGTACTTCCACTGGACTAACAAAGAACACATTTCTAGTGTACTTCTACTGGACTAACAAAGACGTCACAAAACGGCACAATGTATAGACCTACATTAAACAAAACTGTGAGAGTGTTTGTTATCCTGTTTTATGCATTTGTTCAGTATTGTTTTTCCAATTATTGCAAGTTTTTTTAAGGAGAAGACAGATTTCAAAACTTTAAGCTGTAGTGAATAAAGGTGGGAAAATGACATAATAGTTTGAGTTATAGACATTAAAGCAAAAAGTGTTAAAATACTCCATGGGCTCTTATTAAATGAAGCCCGATGAGATGATTTTAAAACATCAAACAAGGTCTCACCTCTAAAGTCAGGTCATCAACCTCCTGCTCCTTCTTTTCTCTCTGAACTGTCCCCATACGACTCTGGCTCACCAGTGTGTTCTGACTGTAGGGCCTGACAAACTTCATGTCACTCATTCTTGAATCAGTCGTCCCGCACATTTCATAATTATACACATGCTGTAATGTGCCATCTGCGTAGACTGGAGGATAATATGGAATTACAGGTAGATTTGCACCAGATTTATAAAATAGCTTATTCTGCCTCCATCTGTAGATTTTCACTGAAATTATTGATATAACTGAGACTATGAAGAGCAGGGAGACCACTGTGAGAGCCAAGATTAAATAAAAAGTCAGGTTGTCGTCAGCTGTTCGTAGTCAAAAGAGCGCACAGCTGTAATCAGTCCGCTGTCAGGTTGAACTGACACATATGATGAGACAGAGACTCCATTAACAGTGCTGTCTTCTAGAATATAAGAAACACGGGCATTCTGATTCCAATCAGCATCACTGGCTTTAACTGTAAATATAGAGAGACCAGGTGTGTTATTCTCCACCACACAGGCCTCATAGTGACTTTTCTCAAATACAGGAGCATTGTCATTCACATCTGATATCTGGATTAAATAAAAAGTCAGGTTGTCGTCATATTGTTTTTCATGTGGAAAGTCTGTAAATTCTGACAGCACTTCAGGGAAGCTGTCAGCCACAGCCACGTTAATGGAGGCCACAGCTGAGCGAGAAGGCTGTCCATTATCCTCCACAACAACAGTCAGTTTTTGTTTCACTGCATCTTTATCAGTCACTTGTCACACAGTTCTTATTTCTCCATTCTGTAAACCCATTTCAACCCGCGCTCGTAAGCTTATCACTGGTTTGTTATCATTAATGTCCAACACATCAATAATCAGCTTACAGGAATCAGAAAGCCCCCCTTGATCTTTAGCCTGGATATCAATCTGGGAGTGACTTGCCTTTTCAAAGTCAACGAGGCCATTTAAAGTTACTTCGCCACTATACTGATCAATAATAAACATGTTTCGCACAATATCATCTTTGCTTGCGATGTTGTACGTCACATAACCATAAGATCCCTCATCTACGTCAGTGGCACTGACTGTGGTCAGTTTAGACCCTTTTGCTGCATTTTCAGTTAATATGGATTTATAGTCCTTTTGTGTAAATACAGGAGCATTATCATTAACGTCTAATACAGTAACATGTATTTGAACAGTTCCAGATAACTGCGGATCACCGCCATCAAAAGCGGTTAACAATAACGTAACCACTCCTTTCTTTTCTCTATCAAGCGGTTTTTGCAAAACCATTTCTACTTTTTTATCCCCACCAGCTTGACTGTGCAGTTCAAGGACAAAATTATCAGTCGGTTTAAGTGAAAAGCTTTGAAGATCATTAACTCCTACGTCTGCATCCACGGCTCCCTCCAGTAAGAATCTCGCGCCCGTTACAGCGGATTCACTGATTTCAAACTCAATTCGTTTTTTCTGGAACGTGGGTGGATTATCGTTTATATCCGTAATTTCAACCGTAATTGTGTATAATTCCATGGGGTTTTCCAAAATCAGCTGAAGGTGCAAAGCGCATGGGGTCGTTTTTGCACAAAGAGACTCGCGATCCATTTTCTCTTTGATGAGCAGGAAGCCAGTGTCTTTATTGAGAACAGTATGTTCAGTACTGTCGCCTGTATACATGCGCGCTTTTCCTGACCTCAGCCGTTGTAAATCCAAGCCAAATCCTGCGCGACATTTACCACAATAGAGCCTTTAGCCATTTCTTCTGGAATGGAGTAACTGACCTGTCCTCGTGCCGAATGAAGCAGGACGACGGAGAACAATACCGAGTACCACATCACGACACCATGCATTTTTTTTCTTTGATAACACCGACAAACCATAAAGAAAAAAGGGTTTTAACGATTTCGAAGTGATGTCTTTTAATGGGAAAAGAGTAAATGCAAGTTCCTTAGATCAAAGTAAGTACAAAATGTCGCGTTTGTTTCAAGACACTCGACAATAATGAGCGATCTGGAAGTGTTTCCTTCTTTCCTCTCTCACTGTGAATATGGGATTGATGGGGCAGGGTTTAAAATACACACAGACAAAGTGCTACATTGACAAACAGCGGCCCTGTGAGTCTAAACCGAGCACTACAATAAAATCAATTCATTTTTTGCAGAACATATTTTTTCAAAAACTTTGTGGGAAAAAATTTTTTTACAGTAGTAGTAATGTTATTTTTAAAAATCAAGTTATTATTGTGGTATGGTTTTGATTTAGCTAATGGAAAGAAATAATTTGACCGTTACTGTTTGATTTTATAAACTGACAAGCCTACCCTATGGCGCTGTCCAAGATGTGGTGCTGAAAGTAATCTAAACTTTAGCATGACTACTACAGATAATAAAAACGATCATGTTCATAATGTTTAAAATTAATGTTTCATATAATTTGTTTAACAATGTTTTTGTACATTTCGATTTTGTTTGTTTTGTGAAGAATAAAGCATTGTTCTTACCAATGTCGAATATTCACTTTCCAAACCGTTATTTGCATTGATTGCGCGCTGCATCGTCTCAGTGAAACTCGGGTCCACCACTAAAACATTCTGTCCACCGAGTGTAGAAAACTTACAGTCATTCTTCCTCGAGTCAGTCGTCATGCACACTTCATAATTATACCCGTGCGGCAGAGTTCCAGTGACTCCTGTGTCTGCGTAATGCGGTGGATAGTACGGTATAACAGGCAGATTGGACTGATATAAGAAGCGAGATTGTCTCCATCTGTATATCTTTACTGATATTATGACAACCATGCAAGAGATAAATAAGAAAGAAACAGAAGCTAGTGAAAGAACTAAATAAAAAGTCAGGTTCTCGTCATACTGTTTTTCATGCGTAAAGTCAGTGAATTCTGACAGCACTTCAGGAAAGCTGTCAGCCACAGCCACGTTAATGAAGACCACAGCTGAGCGAGAGGGTTGTCCATTATCCTCCACAACAACAGTCAGTTTTTGTTTCACCGCATCTTTATCAATCACTTGTCGCACAGTTCTTATTTCTCCATTCTGTAAACCCACTTCAAACAGCGCTCTGTCTGTAGATTTCTGTAGTTTATAGGAGAGCCAGGCATTCTGTCCACAGTCCACATCAACAGCCACCACTTTAGTGACCAGATATCCAACATCTGCAGCACGAGGCACAATCTCAGCCACCACAGAAGCACCAGTCTGTACTGGATACAGAACCTGAGGAGCGTTGTCATTCTCATCTTGGATTATAATGTCCAAAGTCACATTAGTGCTGAGGGATGGAGAGCCTCCATCTTGCGCTTTCACACAAACACGAACACTTTTCATTTGCTCGTAGTCAAAACCGCGCAGTGCGTGAACCACTCCACTGTCAGCATTTACTGATATAAAAGGCTTATCACTGGTTTGTTATCATTAATGTCCAACACATCAATAATCATCTTACAGGAATCAGAAAGCCCCCCTTGATCTTTAGCCTGGATATCAAGCTGGTATCGACTTGCTCTTTCAAAGTCAACGAGGCCATTTAAAGTTGCCTCGCCACTATGCTGATCGATAATAAACATGTTTCGCACGATATCTTCAGTGCTTGCAATGTAGTACGTCACATGACCATTAGATCCCTCATCTACGTCAGTGGCACTGACTGTGGTCAATTTAGACCCTTTCAGTGCATTTTCAGTTAAAATGGCTTTATATACCTTCTGCGTAAATACAGGAGCATTATCATTAATGTCTAATACAGTAACATGTATTTGAACAGTTCCAGACAACTGCGGATCACCGCCGTCAAAAGCGGTTAGCAATAACGTAACCACTCCTTTCTTTTCTCTATCAAGAGGTCTTTGCAAAATAATTTCGACGTTTTTATCGCCGTCTGCTTGACTGTGCAGTTCAAGGATAAAATTATCAGTCGGTTTAAGTGAATAGCTTTGAAGATCATTAACTCCTACGTCTGCATCCACAGCTCTTTCTAACATGAATCTCGCGCCTGTTACAGCAGATTCACTGATTTCAAACTCAATTAGCTGTTTCTGGAACGTGGGTGGATTATCGTTTATATCCGTAATTTCAACCGTAATCGTGTATAATTCCATGGGGTTTTCCAAAATCAGCTGAAGGTGCAAAGCGCATGGGATCGTTTTTGCACAAAGAGACTCGCGATCCATTTTCTCTTTGATGAGCAGGAAGCCAGTGTCTTTATTGAGACCAATATATTCAGTACTGTCGCCCGTATATATGCGCGCTTTTCCTGACCTCAGCCGTTGTAAATCCAAGCCCAAATCCTGCGCGACATTTCCCACAATAGAGCCTTTAGCCATTTCTTCTGGAATGGAGTAACTGATTTGTCCTCGTGCCGAATGAAGCAGGACGACGGAAAACAATACCAAGTACCACATTACGACACCATGCATTTTTTTTTTTCAATATCACCGAAAAACCACAGAGAAAAAAAAAGGTTCTCGACGATTTCGAAGTGAGACTTGAAAGGGGAAAATAGTAAATTCAAGTTCTTTTAATCCAAGAAAGTACAAAACGTCGCATTTGCTTCAAGAAACTCGACAACAATGAGCGATTTGGAAGCGTTTCCTCCTTTCCTCTCTCACTGTGAATATGGGATGATGGGGCAGGGTTTAAAATACACACAAACAAAGTGCTACATTGACAAACAGCGGCCCTGTGAGTCTAATCCTAGCACTACATATAAAATCACAACAACAACAAAATAAAAACGTTTGTCAAAAAAAATAAAGAATAATAGTATAATGGAAAGAAAGAATTTTAGACCGTATACTATCTAATTTATTAAACTGTCATCAAGACCACACTCATGCGCTGTAAGATGTGTTCTGATAGACTAATCTAAATTGATATTTTAGCATGACAACTACAAATAATACAAGCATCATATGAATAATGTTTCAAATGTATTATTATTATTACTATTTTATTTGTATATTTACCAATTTTACTGAACATTTTGGTTTGTTTGATTGTTTTGTGACGTAAAATATGGTTCTTACCGATGCCGGATATTCATTTTCCAAACCTTTATTTTCCTTGATTGGGCGCTGCATCGTCTCAGCGAAACTTGGGTCCACAACTAAAACATTCTGTCCACCGAGTGTAGAAAACTTACAGTCACTCTTCCTCGAGTCAGTCGTCATGCACACTTCATAATTATACCCGTGCGGCAGAGTTCCAGTGACTCCTGTGTCTGCGTAATGCGGTGGATAGTACGGTATAACAGGCAGATTGGACTGATATAGGAAGCGAGATTGTCTCCATCTGTAGATCTTTACTGATATTATGACAACCATGCAAGTGATAAATAAGAAAGAAACAGCAGCCAGTGCCAGAACTAAATAAAAGGTCAGGTTGTCGTCATATTGTTTTTCATATGTAAAGTCAGTGAATTCTGACAGCATTTCAGGAAAGCTGTCAGCCACAGCCACATTAATAAAGACCACAGCTGAGCGAGAGGGCTGTCCGTTATCCTCCACAACAACAGTCAGTTTTTGTTTGACCGCATCTTTATCAGTCACTTGTCGCACAGTTCTTATTTCTCCATTCTGTAAACCCACTTCAAACAGCGCTCTGTCTGTAGCTTTCTGTAGTTTATAGGAGAGCCAGGCATTCTGTCCAGAGTCCACATCAACAGCCACCACTTTAGTGACCAGATATCCAACATCTGCAGCACGAGGCACAATCTCAGCCACCACAGAAGCACCAGTCTGTACTGGATACAGAACCTGAGGAGCGTTGTCATTCTGATCTTGAATAATTATTTTCACTGTCACGTTACTGCTGAGCGGAGGAGCGCCTCCATCTTGCGCTTTTACCCAGAAGTGGAAATCTTTCAGCTGTTCGTAGTCAAAAGAGCGCACAGCTGTAATCAGTCCGCTGTCAGGATGAACTGACACATATGATGAGACAGAGACTCCATTAACAGTGCTGTCTTCTAGAATATAAGAAACACGGGCATTCTGATTCCAGTCAGCATCACTGGCTTTAACTGTAAATATAGAGAGACCAGGTGTGTTATTCTCCAGCACACAGGCCTCATAGTGACTTTTCTCAAATACAGGAGCATTGTCATTCACATCTGATATCTGCACACGGAGAGAGACACTGCTGGAGAGCGCTGGCACTCCCTCATCAGTACATATTACAGTGATATTGTACTCAGCTTCTCGCTCTCTGTCCAATTCCTGCTCTGTTTGCAGGCTAAAGAAATTGCTAGACGGAGAAGTAATAGAAAAGGAAATGTCGTCATTTAAGACGCACTGAACCTGACCATTTGAACCTGAATCAAGATCATCAACATTTAGGACTGAAACAACAGTCCCAGACTTTGACCCTTCAGATATTGAATGGGAACTAGACACAATATTAATACTAGGCGAATTATCATTAATGTCCAGAACATCGATTATGACTTTGCATGCGTTAGAAAGTCCTCCTTGATCTTTTGCCTGAATATTAAGTTCATAATGGCTCAACTTTTCATAGTCAACCTGGCCGTTTAATATTAATTCACCACTTTTTTCATCAATATGAAACATGTCGGCCACAATTTTGTTCATTGTGTCAGATATGTAGTACGTGACTACACTGTTGGATCCTTCGTCTGCATCAGACGCGCTCACGACTGTTAGTACAGTACCTTTTGGTGCGTTTTCTGTTATGGTGGTTTTATATACTTTTTGCGTAAAGACAGGAGCATTATCATTAATGTCTAACACAGTGATATGTATCTGTACAGTGCCAGAAAGCACCGGATCCCCTCCATCAAATGCTTCTAACAACAAAGTAAATAAGCTTTGCGTTTCTCTATCAAGTGGCCTTTCTAAAATCATCTCGACGTTTTTAGTACCGTCTGCCTGATTGTGCAATTCTAGCCGGAATTTGTCAGTCGGTTTCAGCGAGTAGCTTTGAAGATCATTTGTTCCTACATCCGCATCGAAAGCTCCCCCAAGCATAAAACCAGCACCCGCCACCGCCGATTCGCTGATCTCAAATCTAATGTCCTTTTTCTGGAAACTCGGAGCGTTATCATTTATATCCGTGATTTCTATTGTAACCGTGTAGAATTCCATCGGGTTTTCCAAAATCATTTGAAGTTGTAAAGCACACGGAGTTGTTTTTGCACAAAGAGATTCGCGATCCATTTTCTCTCTAATAAGCAGCTGTCCAGTGTTTCTGTTCAGTTCGATGTATTCCGTACGGTCTCTTGTATAAATTCTCGCTTTTCCCGATTTCAGTCGTTGTAAATCCAAGCCCAAATCCTGCGCAATATTTCCCACCATCGATCCTTTTGCCATTTCTTCGGGAATGGAGTAACTGACTTGTCCTCGCGCAATTTGAACCAGAAGAATCAAAAACAACATCGAGCGTCTTATCATTGCATCAGGCATTATCTCAGTTGCACCGATGATCGAATAAGAAACAATCATCTATCAGTGTATCCTTTAAGTCTATAAAATTAAATTAAAATGTATTCACTTGAATTATGTGTGTACTCGCCAACGAGTTTTTGCAGAAAATCCGTGCAAGAAAATAATTTCTGAGACGGTAGCTTTTCTTGCTTTCTCTCTGATAGTATGTGATGCTGGGGGTGGGTGTGTAAAATACACAGTTTCTCCTCCATTTGTCGATGAACAGCGGCCCTCTGAGTGTAAATTAGGAATTGCAAATCAAGTTTATATATTTATGCCTAAAGAGAATTTTAGCAACGGCATGTATTGTTTTCTAGGCCTATTACTCATGTAAAGCCAGTCATCTGAATTCCCCGACGATTAAATAAATGACTATAGAGGCAAACGTGAAGAATAAACCTGAATGCATTTTAGCAAAAGTATAACACTTCCAATTAAAGCACATAATGAAGACCACAGTCCTCTGTTTACCAGTAGCAGATTTCATCAAATGAGGCGCTGTTCAACAAAGGTGGTGCTGAAATGTGTAAAAATGCCTCTGCATTGTACCAAATTAATTACGTAATTTCCAATAATTCACTTTATTATTATTATGTTTTTTTTTTACACGCAGCCTATCAAAAATACCACGCTTAACGAAATGCAATCTTATAGTGACTCATTGGTCTACCACTAAAGCTATTTCGACTACATATCAAACATTCTCTGAGTCTTACAACAATTCTCTGAGTCTTACAACTTAAGAGTTTCATTTCCTTTTCGAACAAACATTTCAACATTACAGGCACCAGTCCTAAACTTTACAGCTTTTTAGTTTATTGTTTGATGCGATCTTGAGTAAATTGAACCAATACTAGTAATAAGCAACACAACAATGAAAAACAACGTTTTTTCAACATTGTGGAGACTTGTGCAAAAGTTTTAGATGCATGTATTAGAAAGAAAGAAAAAAAAAGTTGTGTAAGTAATTGTTTATCCAAAACCTAAAACTACATTTGAACACGTAATCGCTCAGTTATCCAAGCCTATTTATTTATTTATAATCTACTTAAGCAACCATATTACTTGTCTTTTCCGTTAATAAATAATAATAATAATAATAATAATAATAATAATGGTCTAACGAAAACTTTCTTACCGATTCTGCAGAGCCGAGATCGTCGATGGAACTGTTTTTCTTGATTGTGTGCTGCATTGTCTCAGCGAAACTCGGGTCCACCACTAAAACATTCTGCCCACCGAGTGTAGAAAACTTACAGTCACTCTTCCTCGAGTCAGTCGTCATGCACACTTCATAATTATACCCGTGCGGCAGAGTTCCAGTGACTCCTGTGTCTGCGTAATGCGGTGGATAGTACGGGATAACAGGCAGATTGGACTGATATAAGAAGCGAGATTGTCTCCATCTGTAGATCTTTACTGATATTATGACAACCACACAAGTGATAAATAAGAAAGAAACAGCGGCCAGTGCCAGAACTAAATAAAAAGTCAGGTTGTCGCCATACTGTTTTTCATGTGTAAAGTCTGTGAACTCAGATAGCACTTCAGGAAAACTGTCAGCCACAGCCACGTTAATGGAGACCACAGCTGAGCGAGAGGGCTGTCCGTTATCCTCCACAACAACAGTGAGTTTTTGTTTCACCGCATCTTTATCAGTCACTTGTCGCACAGTTCTTACTTCTCCATTCTGTAAACCCACTTCAAACAGCGCTCTGTCTGTAGCTTTCTGTAGTTTATAGGAGAGCCAGGCATTCTGTCCAGAGTCCACATCAACAGCCACCACTTTAGTGACCAGATATCCAAAATCTGCAGCACGAGGCACAATCTCAGCCACCACAGAAGCACCAGTCTGTACTGGATACAGAACCTGAGGAGCGTTGTCATTCTCATCTTTGATTAAAATGTCCAAAGTCACATTAGTGCTGAGGGGTGGAGAGCCTCCATCTTGTGCTTTCACACAAACATGAACACTTTTCATTTGCTCGTAGTCAAAACCGCGCAGTGCGTGAACCACTCCACTGTCAGCATTTACTGATATAAAAGAGGAAACAGGGGATCCACC